ATGTATATTTTCTTTCTTTTTCTCTTTCTTCCTTTTCTTTTCTTTGTTTTTGTATTTCTCCAAGAGTTTTTTTAAGACCCCCCTCTCCCTCCGACCCAGGTGTCCCCGCCGACAGCGTAGCCAAGATGGTGGCCGCCAAGCCCGTGCTGGAAGTGGCCCAGAACGGCAATGCTGTCACCATCAAGACCGTTGCTGGCGACAAGAGCTTCACCAACACCATCAAGCTCGGCGAAGTGTCCAAGGCTAGCCTTCCCGGCGGTATCGAGTACACGGTGAGAATAGTAACATTATCGTGCACTTTTTGGAATTATTTACTTTTGATAATATGATTAATTTCTGACTTCAATACATACTATAGGCCGTCTTTAATAATTCCCCATGACTTTCTCATTTAACAAAATACGACTCAGAACTGTACCATGCTACAAAATATACCAAAGGCCAAACCATATAACCCACAAGTTTTCCATTTAACCCAACACCTAAAACAGGACTTCAATTCCAACCATAGTGCTAAAGACTTCTCTCCTTCCTGCAGGTGAACCTCTCTCAGTCTGGCAACACCCTGAAGGGAACCTGGTCCATGGGAGGCAAGTCAGGTGACGCTTCCGTCGAGGTCACTGGCAGCAGCCTCGTCCAGGTTAGATGCTGCTAAATTTCCTTTCGTTTTTTTATTGTATTATGAAGTGGAATATTGTTGCTTGTGGTGGTTCTTTTTCATTTACTTAAGGGTTTTATGGAGGGGGGGTCGCGTCCTTTTGTAAACAGCAGCATGATTATAAAGAAGAAATAAGGCAATATATAATAATGATGCAGCAAAATATCACATATATACAGTATCTTCAATAGAACTACAAGTTAATACTATACATATGTTACAAAGCATTACCGCACTAGAAGATGTATTATGTACAACAACTATTAACTTTAGCAATGACATCATACTGATCGCAATTCCCCCGATCATTTCCAGACCATGAGCCTCGGAGGCGTCAAGGCCAAGAGAGTGTACAACCGCAAGTAGATGAGCTGCACTCGCTCTTTCCTCTTCACACACACACCCACGCGCACGCAGTAGTGTCCAAGAGGCTGTTACGCTGTGCTTCCCTACTGTAGGGGATCTCGCCGTAACAGCAACTCACTCCTCCCTGCTGTGTGCCCTCATCTGACTATACTCTTCTGTTTTGTTTTCTATGGCTAAGCCCATTCTCTGTCATCTACAATACTCTGCTGGAATAAAATGAAATATTTCCTGTAGTCTCTATCTTTGTTTCCCTATTAGTATTGATTTTGATATTTACTGAATAAAAAGATAATTGTAACTTTGAAGGTATATAGAATAATAATAGAATATCACAAGGGCATGGGTAATTTTGCAGTTGAAAGTAATGTTAACAATGGTTTAAATACAGCAATGTTCAATATCAAACGACAGTGATATATATATATATATATATATATATATATATATATATATATATATATATATATACATTATATATATATATATATATATATATATATATATATATATATATATATATATATATACATACATATATATATATATATATATATATATATATATACATATATATATATATATATATATATATATATATATATATATATATATATATATATATATAAAGAATGAGCAAGCTGTGGAAATTAACAAAATGGAAACTAAGTTACCAGAATAAGAACAAATATCATCCAAAAAGATTGATTGATAGTCAAATATGAAAATTAATATAATCAGTGTAGACCGAGTGACCGGATTATGAAAATATGATAAAAAGTAAGCGTTCGTGCCCTTGAATACGACCTTTGATTACCTCTTATCAGTATTACTAAGATGCAGACTGAAATATAAATCTCTTGACATGCAAAAAAAAAGAAAGAAAGATGGAAAGAGAGAGCTAGGTAAGCCATATTACATACGCAGTTTTATAGTTATTTTTTCATCATCATTGCCAAAATAAAAATTGAAAAGGCGAGTAGTGGCGAATCTACGGGGGGCAAGAGAGGCAATTACCTCTCTCACCCCACTCCAACTTATTGTCCAATTACTTAAGCTGTAATTGTAAAACGTAAATTACCAATTACTTAAAACTAAATAGGGTAATCAAATTGAATGATATATGAATAAGATTATGGCTATCAGTTGCATATATAATTGTTTCTGGAAATGTACCTCGTGTTTGCTTTATCTCATGCGCTCCTGTCAAAAGTTTTTATCCCTTTGGCCGTGAGGAGGGAGGAGGAGGAGGAGGAGGAGGAGGAGGAGAAGAAGAAGAAGAAGAAGAAGAAGAAGAAGAAGAAGAAGAAGAAGAAGAAGAAGAAGAAGAAGAAGAAGAAGAAGAAGAAGAAGAAGAAGAAGAGGAAAAAGAAGAAGAAAGAGGTGGAGGAGGAGGAGAAGAAGAAGAAGAAGAAGGAGGAAGAAAAGAGGAACAAGAAGCAAGAGGAGGAGGAGAATAATAATAATAATAATAATAAT